CTGTCTGTGAAAGCTACACTCTCCTGGCTTAAAAATGCTGTCAGTGAATGCTAGTCTCTTGGCTTACAAAACTCTGTCTGTGAACACTAGTCTCCTGGCTTAAAAATGCTGTCAGTGAATGATAGTCTCTTGGCTTACAAAACTCTGTCTGTGAACACTAGTCTCCTGGCTTAAAAACTCTGTGAACACTAGTCTCCTGGCTTAAAAACTCTGTCTGTGAATGCTACTGTCTCCTGGCTTAAAACAATGTCTGAGCAACATGCTAGTCTCTTGGCTTAAAAAACTCTGTCTGTGAATGCTAATATCTGACTTAAAACAATGTCTGAGCAACAGGTACAAAGCCCTTGATATTCTACAGCTTTCAAGAGAACACCATGGACTGCCTTAAGTCATACAAATGTAAAACATGCCAGGAATCTGACCTGGTGGACCTGAAAATCAACACAGAAATTCTTGACTTTAAGGTAGTCTATAAAAAATGCTGAAAATGAGATATTTAAGTGAATCATTTCCTTGTTTTAATAAGTTGATTGGTGTCGAGTACAGGAATGTAGCCATCAATTGATATAAGTATATAGGTGGAGTAGCACAAGATAAAATTGTTCTATGTAGACTTTCAAATCATCTCAAATGGAATGCTATCGACTAAAAATATCTATGATGACTGGGGTGATTGCTCTTCATTAATACTGTCAAAAAATATCAATGCTGATAGGCCCAGTTGCTCTCCTTTGATGCTGTCCAAAAATAATTATGCTGAGTGATCTCCTTTAATACTGTCAAAAGGGCATGTACTTTGTTCTCATTTTGACACTTAAGGTATCCGAACCTCACCAACTGGTAATTCTGATCTTAAGGGGTTTTCTGTTAAGAAATGAAATAAATATTGTTAACTTCTTTGAGTGTTTTTTTAAAAATGCAACTTTGCTTGATAAAAGCATGAGTACCCTTTTGAAACCTAATTGCGTGTTAATAAACTAGTAATTGTTATAATATATTGTTAAACTAGGTATTGTATAACCTCACTGAAACTCTTTCTACAGAAAAACATGTTGAATTGGTTATTGTATAACCTCATTTAAACTCTTTATACAAAAGAACATAATGTTAGAATGCATATTGTATTACCTCATTTGAACTCCTTATACAGAAGAACATAATGTTAGAATGCATATTGTATAACCTCATTTAAACTGTTTATACAGAAGAATGTTAAATTGGATTTGTATAACCTCATTCAAGCACTTTATAGGCTACAGAAGAACATGTTGTTAAATTAGGTATTGTACAACCCCATTTAAACTCTTTCTACAGAAAAAACATGCTAAATTAAACTCATTTAAACTCATTATACAGAAGAATATGTTGTTAAACTACTTATTGTTCAATCTCATTTAAAATGTTTAACTTATCAATTCCTACCACATGGAAATCTTTACTGGTGTTTATAATACTTTTAATAGAAGAAGTGTGAATTGGTAGAAACAGGGACAGGTGGAAGATCTTAGACAATACCGTAAATATTATTGAAAGTACAATCATATGTCTTTTTAGAGCCACTTATCAGTCAATTGTATTTTATTTGGACAATTTATAATTTTTTCATGGCTTAATCAAAGCTAAAAATATACTTAAATTGGTAACAAATAATTAATAAAACAAAATAGAAATATCTTTGAGGTGGTTCGCGTCCCAAACTTGTACATTTCTTCAGCAACCGGACAAAGAAGACGGACATATGCCTTGCAGTGTGCCATTGGGAAAATTTGGACGGGACAATGACATTTCCACATACTCTTCATTGATTTCTAACTGCCTAGAGTTCTTTTATGTGCAGGGCCGTAACCAGCTCAGAGCAACGAGGGGGGCGGGAAGTGTGCTGAGGGGGGCTGTAAAATTAACGGACAATGTATATCTATTTTTTTAATAGTCGACAATTTTTTCACAGGGGTGGGGGGGGGGCGAAACATTTTGCAGGGGGAGAGCTTTGCCCCCCTAGTTTGGTGAGCGTGACCTTGTTTTTTGTTCCATCCAAACAACTAGACATTTCTATCAATCCAAGCCCTATGTCCTGCACCACCAACGATGAGAAACCATGGCTGAAAAAATTACATAGACATACATATGCAGCTAATAACACCTCAATATAATATTTATATTGAAATATTTCAGACTTTGAGTCTGTGTGAAAAGTGATGAAATAATAAACACCAAGTAATATACGTTTGATTATCATCCTTTCTGTTAAAACGTGCAATTATAAACTTACTCGATGTGAGAAAAACTTCAAGAGAAAATTATCTTGATCTTGAATTTAATGGGGGTAATTTTCTGAGTTAAAAAGATGTGATCTTATTTATGAATGAATAAGTTTTGAAAAAGAAGATGGCCGCAGGGTGTTTGTACTGAATATTTATGGGATAATAGGAGGATTACTTTGTTGATATAAAGATGTTAAAAGTCTTGTGAGGGACCATTGAGGATTTCACAGAGGAGATGGATAATATGTTCAACTGTTTTATTAGTTGTGCAGAAGACAGGTTATGCTTACACATTCATGTATCTTGTATTTGTGCAATGACAGTCCTACAGTCTACACACAAACACCGATTTGGCAAAGTTCTGCCAGATAAGTACTATAGTATCTAGTGTTAATTGTTATGGTCCTGATCATCAGCTGTCATTAATAATTACTAGGGTTAGAGAGAGAGAGAAATGGGGTTTAACATTCACTTGATACAAACCAGCTCATTTCGGGAATAACAAGGGGTTCAACCTTATTTCATTAATTCACTTTCTTTAGCACTGGGAGGAAACCGGGGGACTCAGAGAAAACTTTGGACAGGCGACCCTACTTCTTGTCACGTACAAGCGGGGAATCAAAACCAAGCCACTTGACTCAATGACAGATCTTATGATGCAATGCACACGCTTTAACCCGACTGATATTTTATATCTTGATTGATTAAGGACTCAATAAAGACATTTTCAGTGTTGAATAACTTTTCCTACTCCTGAGTGGGACTTGTGCACAAATTTTTCTGTCTTTTTAAGGTTGTGGCCCCCCCGGTCTCTCCCTAGGGTGGAAAAGGTTAGGGAAGGGACCCCAGCTTTCTAGAAATTAAGTTTCCTGTGTAACCTTTCTAATCATTTAAATTGATCATGGCTGGGAACAGGTACACAAAATAAATAATAAACTGTCACGTCTCTTGTAGTCAAACATGCAATTAAATAGTGTATATAATAACCTGTCTAATTCATTCATCTTTAATCAAATAAAATCACATTGTCTGGTGATGTCAGAAAGTAAAAAATGAATGGTTTACTTAATGTTTTGAATGATTTGCTGTGAATTGCATGAGCAGTCGCATGTCTGAGATTTAGAATGGCGATTGTTAGTGTGTAGTGTCGCCATAGGGGGTTAAATGAGGCGTTTTCAAACAACTATTGTAGCATGGCAAGAGTCGTACAAGGGGTGTTAATAAAGTTATATTAAGTAAGACTCATAGTTTACAAATATACTTTTCACAGTTTGTATTATATACCAGCATTGTGCCAAGTGTTTTATGTTATTTTTCCGATTCATCAAGTCTTCACCGAGGTGGTCTTGCTGTAATTGTCAAATTTTCTCACTGGCTTTATGATCTTTCACTGCTATGACTGGATTATAAGGTGTGAATAGAAAAGGGGTTGAAGTGTTGATATTACACAGGAGAATACACAGCAATATGATTTTCAAATTTTAAATTCTCACTATAACATGGGAGATAAATTTTAAATTCTCACTATAACGAGAGGGAGAGAGAAATGGGGTTTAACGTCCACTCGACACAAACTAGGTCATTTCGGGACTAACATATGGTTTAATTTTATTCCAATAATTCGCTTGCGCTTAGGGGTCTTTAGCAGTGGGGGGAAACCGGAGGACCCGGCGAAAACCCACGAGGTTGGACTGGCGACGTTACTCCTTGCCCCATACAACCGGGGATTCGAAACCACGCCAGTTGACTCAATGACAAACTTTATGATACAGCTCGCGCAAGCTAACCATTCAGCCATCCAACCCCCCTTCTCACTATAACATGGAAGATGAATTTTGAATTCTCGCTATAACATGGAAGATGCATTTGAATTTCTCACAATACACAGAGCAATAAGATTTTCAAATTTGAATTCTCACTATAAATGAAATGAAATGAAATGGAGTTTAACGTCCTACTGTTCTGCTCCTAACCGAATTCTCACTATAACATGTGAGGTAAATTTGAAATTCTCACTATAACATGGAAGATGAATTTGAATTTCTCACTATAACATGGAAGATGAATTTGAATTTCTCACTATAACATGGAAGATGAATTTGAATTTCTCACTATAACATGGAAGATGAAATTAAAATTGTCAGTATGACACAGATAATAAATTCTCAGTCTAACTGTGGGGTTGAGTGTCTGAATGGTCTAAGGTGTGCACTTTAGATCATAAGGTCTGTTATTGTGTCAGATGGTGGGGTTTGTATCTCACACATATTTATGATAAGGAGTGTGGTCTCATGTCAAACCTTGCATTCCTTCAACTCCCACTGCTAAAGACCCCAGACGCACAAACAAGTGTTGTGTAAATGATAAATCCCATTTAACTCTCTAACACAGAAGATACATCTAATTCGTTATTGCAGTGTTCGATGACATTTTGCCCGGACAGCGTCGTTACCGCCTACTCTTCATTACCCTTCACTATCAAATCAAGGGACCTTTTATGTGCATGCAGACCTCGGTTCTTCATCCCATCCAAATCGTGAGACACCTTTTTCTTTGTTCATTAGTGGAGTGAAATGCAACTCATTGACTGAGACCAAAATTTAAACCCCGAGCCCAAACCATCCGATCAAAGTTGCCGATTCTGATTGTACAGCATACTATATTACACACCCCAAAATATCCTATAGCTGAGGCTGTATAAATAAAAATGGAATCCTTTTTGATTTGTATTTTTTTCAGATTATGAAATTGTAATACCTGAAGTTTACACATCCGATGGAACCAAAATAACTGACAGCATCTATCATAAAAGGCATAAAAGAAGTATAACACAACATCATTTACTAAAAATAGACATTAGCAGTCTCTCCGAACAATTTCAGTTAGAATTGTGGGAAAATAAAGAACTGTTAGCTCCGGGATTTAAAGTTTATCATCGGAAAGACAAGAAAGGTAACTCCTCCGATGAAGCGGTTTCATCAGATGAGATTGAGAAAGAAGCAGCATGTTTGTATACGGGTAGAGCTACGTCACATCAAAATAATACGGTGGCTTTATCCGTCTGTGATGGAATTGTAAGTTAATTTTGATTATTTGATTCTGTTCATTGAAATATTTGTGTAAAAATAAAATATGTTTCAGTTTCTGATTACAAGATGCCCCTGGAAGCCACAGTGGCTCAGTGAGAAGGTTCTAGATCTCACTAGCTAGGAGATCCTGGTTCGATCCTGGTGTTGGCAGAGAAAGTTCCTCAGGAATTTTCAACAAAGTTTCCCCTTGTCACACACTGTAAGGTCCCTTGTAAAACATTGGCGTGCACGTAAAAGAACCCTTTGCGGTTGAAATTTGATGAAGAGTAGGTGGAAACGCCTCTGTCCGAGCAAAATTCTCCCTCATCACATTGCAGACACCTCATCCAATTCCATCTCATTCTATTCTAAACTAATGGCCAATTAAGCCCCCTGGGATTCTTGTTTTAAAGATTCATCTTGTTGCTCTGCTTATTATTGAATTGATCTATTTAAAAATATTTTCTTAAAAACATAACAATCTTGAACCAGTGCTCATCTTGAAATTAAAAAAGGCGTTGTGTTGTATCATTTTTCTATCCATGTTGTGTAGACAGCGGGAAGCCTAACACTTTGCTCTCTTTCTATATGTATTTTATTAAGCAGGTGGTTATATCCACAGATCTACAAGTAAATAATACGATCGTTTACTTTCTAGTCAGTGTGTGAAGAGATTAAAACATGCTGAACATATAAACTAATTCTGCTTATAAAGTAATTTGAAACATCTCTTACACTGAAATCAAAAAGAAACTCACAATCAGCACCAATGCAAAGATTCTCAAAATTTTGTTAAATGATGTCAATACAAACCATCATAGAATTCCAAACATGTTATCACTTAATTCCCTAAACTTCAAAGTTTAAGGAAAATGTAACTCCGATTTAAATTTGACTTTGAAAATAATCGTCTTTATGTGTTGTGTTGTGGTACTGTTTTGATCATGGTTTTTGATACGCCCATATGTTATATGGGAGGACATTGTAAACATCACCTCTGTCCGTCCATCTGTCTCTCTGTTTCTCTGTTCACTGTTCTTGTAAATGCAGGTCAGAGTTTTTGTGACAATTCTTCTTTTTGCTGTAGTTTAGGCCAAACCAATTTAATTTTTAATTATTTGGAATCTCGATAAATAAAAAGCCAAATGAGTCTCATCAATTTTAAAACTTGAAAATGTGAAATTAAGACCTTTTGAGAAGAGCAATTGATTATTTTGGGGTTTTTAAATTATTATTTTTTCCCTAGGAAATAGGACACAAAATTTTAATGGGTGTACCTGAGGAAAAAAGTTCAAATTAGTGTGGTGGCCTTACTATAAAGATAAATAAACGGAAACCCATTTTTAAGTCGATAGTTTAAATTATTTATACTTGGATTCAGCATTCACATATAATATTACTTTTTACTTAATCTCTGGAAGTCCTCCACCTGGTAGGACTCCTTGGCTGCAGCCCCCAAGGCCCATGAGTCAATCTTGGTCTCGAGTTACTGGCCCTGTCACTGAAACCTTGTAAACATTCTAGAGTTCAGAATTTTTAAGACTTATTTTCTAAACATGGTTTGATTCTTTTTTTTGGGGTCAGCTAGTCAAGTTTGCTGAATTTCTACCCCTGTCACTGTAAATGCTCAACAGAACAGAGTTTGTTTATTCCCTTCTTCAAATTTGCTTGGATTGTTTGACTAATGTAATGCAGAACTTCTATTAAATTTTAGTTTTGCACAGTTATTGTCCCTGCCTTTCGAATCTTCTAAACGCTCACTAGGCCAAAGTTTTTGAGAATTTTTTTCCAAGATTGCTGGAATTGTTTAGCTACTCGTAAGGAGGGATTACCAAGTCAAAATTCAGTCACTCATCAAATTTCTTTGTAGCTATTGCCCCTGACCTGAAAACTTAACAGCTACCATTCAAAATGTTTCTGGTAGGCAAATATACATTGCTTGGCAATTTTATGTTTGATTAAATGAATTTTATCGATTTGTAAATGTTCAATTGATGAAGATGCAATATATTAAGATGATATATATATACATGTATAGACATTCCTTAACATACCAAGACATTGCACTTATTAGTTTATAATAGAATATGAAATATTTCTAGTGAAACAGGCAGACTAATTCAATTATGTTCTGAATTTGAATAATTTGGAATGTTGAGTGGAGTTATTCACTTTATTTGCAATGTTTGAAGCCAAATCTTTTAAATAGTTGAAATTACTGTGTGCTTCATTCATGATTAAGTTTTTAAATTATACTCACTGTATAGTTCATTTGTGGTAACATCCTCTGAAGTGTCCAATTAAAAAGAACTTGAAACACATTTGCATAGAAATTATTGGATTTCTGTATTTAAACATTTATTGTGAGAATATTTAAAACAGATGTTTTATTATTTCAAGGGGGGGGGGGGGTGTCTAGTGGTTTAACCTCGTGGGTTTTCTCTGGGTCCTGCAGTTTCCTCCCACTGCTAAAGACTCCTAAGTGCAAGCAAATTATTGAAATAAAATTGAACTATATGACCAGTTTGTGTTGAGTGGGCATCAGTTGTATTCCATAGAATTATATTCCATAGAATTTGGAATTGTATTCTTCGGAATTATATTCCATAGAATTTTAGTAGATTATAATTGTACTGTAAAATAAGGAACTGTATTACAGAAAATTGTGTCCTATGTCGATTAATATTGCTACATGGCACCAGTTCAAAAAGACTAAAACCATACAAAAAATAGTAATTGTATTGTATAGAATTGTCCTGTTTGAAGTCAGCTGAAAATGAATTTGTTGACGACAAGAATCTTACAAAAAATCACCCAGTAATAAGCATTTATTGTTTCATAGAATTGTGTCTTATGTAGATTCATATAGGAACATGCAGCTAGTTAAAAATGAGTTGAGTTGATTTGATATGACAAAAAAAGAATAGTTGTATTGTATAGACAATTCTTTTGTACATTAATATTGCAATATAAAGCTAGTTGAAAATGACTCTGTTTGATAAAGACTAGCTAGAATCCTATAAAAAATCACTCTGTACTAAACAGTTATTGTGTTCCATAGAACTGTGACCTGTGTAAACAAAAGGAATCATTTTACGCTCAAAGGTTACTTATGATGTAGGAAAAAAATATTGTTTTTAACAATTTCTTTTGGTATAGTAGAACAAAAACACATTTGACATTTTTCTGGTTTTCTTGTTGTTTTGAAACATCTATTGATAAAAACTGTTAATGTAAACATCAAACGTCAGAGTTCCCTGAATGAATCATTATTGTTTGATGTAGAAAATCTTGACCAATCCATTCCCTAATCTTAATGACTTCTGCCTCAATTGACCTTTTGGGTAAGTTTCTGTTCTTGTTTTTCTCTCACTTTACAATCTCTTGGATAAAAAATTGGCCAATCCTTTCGAGCTTCTGAGCTTCTACGCAGGAAAGATTTTTCTAGTTATAAAGTCTTCAAAATAAAAGGATAACAGATATTTTTGATCAAAAACATTATTGTTGTTGTTAAATATCAGGTGTGGAACATGGATAACAAATTTGCTAATCCTTTTGGGCTTCTGATATGTATAGGATAGATATTAAAATAGTTAAATGTCATGTGTACAATATTGATAAAATATTGCCCATCCTTTCAGGCTTATATGCCAGAAAGATGTTTCTAGTTGTAAGGTCTTCAAAATAAATGGATGGCAGATATTTCTGATCACAAACATTATTGATATTGTTAAATGTCATGCATGTAATTACAATGAGGTCTTGGTTTGCAGGATAGGCTAGGAATGGAGTTGATCTGTTCTTAGGCAATCATTAAAAAGAAAGTTTGATTGAAACACACATTATGTTGATACCGGTAACTAGATATTGGATCTTCATAATGAAAAGAAAAGGAATCCAGGACTTTCTAGATAGAGAGTCCAGAGCCCTACTACTTGACTGTTGCAACCCCAATCTCAACACACTTTGCACATGCTCTAACCTAAACCATCTGAGAATTAGGGCTAAAAGGTTACAAGGTACTTCTCATCCTAGAACTTGCTAGTCAAGACTCAGGTGCTGTACTGCTCGGCTGTTGCAACCTCAATCTCAACAAAAGTTCTGCTCCGAACTGGGCTAATGAAGACGGGCATACGCCATACAGTGTGCTATGAGGGAAATTTGGCCCGGACAGCGCCACTACGGCATATCGAATTCCAACTGTCAAGGGATCTTTTATGTGCACACCAATGTGTACACAGGACCTCGGTTTTTCATCCCATCTGAACGACTAGACAGCTGTTCTTGTCGGGCCCTCTGTCCTGCATCACTGACAAGGGAGAACCATGCCGGAAAATCTGGATGAACTTTCTTAGCCAATGCAGGGATCGAACACCCGACCCCCAGGCTAGCGAGCCAGCGTCTTACCCACTTAGCCACCGTGATCCCCTCAACAAAAAGTAAGCGATGATGTCTTTATTTAAAACAATTCTGTTTGTGGTGTGGTATATTTTGATACATATTATGTACCTATTAAAACCATGTAAGGTGACCTTTATGGTACAGACAGAGAGACATGGAGACATGTTAGACATTACACTTTAAACCCTTGCGACCTTTTCATCATCCAAATTACCTCTCCTATCATAAATATGAAAAACGTGTGAATATGTACCCCGGGCGCAACTAGATACTAAAAATGGTTACAGCAAGTATTGTTTCTGGGGTGTTTCGTTTGCAAATTTGAGTGGTGCATGTGAATATTTCATGACATTTTTGTGAGCTTTTTTATATAAATTATTGTGTAACCTTTCATTATTTTATAAAAGAAAATATCTGATTTTTTTTAGTTATTGTAAATGGTAAATGTCACATCATGAAACAAGTTCCATTTTGATTTATTTTTTTTATTTGTGTTACATGTGCATGATATTGTCTGTCTAGGGCATGGTGTGCCTGAGTTCTGGCAATTTACACAACAATTATGAGTAATGGGTTCTTTTATAAGTTCAGGGTATTGCCCTTTG